TCCTTATAAAAATGGGGAACTTTGCATACAGAGACAGATCCGCACAGAGGGAAGACAATGAGAAGAGACCCAGGGAGAATGAATCATGCCACTTTGGAGTGATGCTGCCCCAAGCCCAGGAATGTCTGGGCTACCAGAAACTGGAACAGGCAAGGAAGTGTCCTTCCTCTACAAATGTCAGAGGGAGCATGGCCCCACTGATACTGATTTGACAGCCAGCCTCCTGAACTATGAGACAATGAAGTTCTTTTGTTCTAAGCTACCCACTTTGTGGCACTTTGTTACATCAGCCCTGGGAAGCTAATACACCAGGAACTGCATGTTCGCAGCGTCTGCCCAGTTTTCAGTGAGGCTCCTTCCTTTTCCTATGAATATTCAAAGGTCCTTGACTGCTCCAGATTCACTTTCACTTTTTATTCCTTTCTCCCTCTTTTCCATCATCCCACCTGCTTCCCTGGAGCTACTTTGGGAGTAGAATTTCAAGTAGAAGGAAAGAGCCACTTAGCTAGAGGTGAGAGGGAGGTAGAGAGCAGGGATATTTTTAGGTAGAGGAGGTTTATGATGCCACCAAACAGAAGTAGGAAAGCAGTCCTGGGTTGTGGGATCAGCCTAGAGACATGGAGAATTCTCTGTGCTTCTTTAATCACCTTGAGCTCCTTATCTCAAAGTTTCTATCTAGGTCCGCCTGTGGCCAAGATCAGCCAGTGAGTGTCAGCTGGCTCCCCAGGTCATCTCTGGACTAGGTTTATGGCACCACCTTCAAACAAGCCGGTGGTTTTCCTCCTGCCCACAAGTGTGGGGTCTAGTAAGTACCAAAAACAACTCAAGAGATCATGCAGCAGGCTGTTTTAGGTGTTCTGAAACTCTGTCTTCTGATTTGGTTTCGTTGAGCCCTTCCGAATATTCGGAAGAAGGCCCTGGAGTATTCCAAAGGTCTTTGCCTTTAAAAAGGTCCTTTTGTTGCCACAATGAGATGACGTTGTAAGGAAAGGCTGAGGCCAGCTGGAGGGAGATGTGTGGGCAGGGCAAGGGCTGCAGAAGCAGCCACTGGAGAGCCTGATTCTGCCCAGGACGTGGTTTCTAAAATGAGCCAGTTTCATCCATCATTAACTTTTACTTCCCTAAGCTGTACCATCTCACTGCGCTTTCATGCTAGCTTCCTTGAGAGGCTGCTTTTACTTCTCCAGAGGCCCCAAACGTGCAGCACCTGGATTTCCCGCAATGTCTGGGAACACGCACCAGACGAGACAAGTCCTCCCAAGTCCTCCCTAAATGCAAGAAGCTCAATGCCGACTTCATACCAAAAAAGAAAAAAAAAAAAACAAAAAAAAAGACAACAAGAGCAGTCCATCAATACACCCTGTGCACACCAAGATACTGAGATGATTTTTTCTAAGCTGTCTCTCTTAAAAAAGATCAACTGCTGTGATAGAATATTCACAGAGCTATTGTAAGAATGAAGAGCTTAATTTAGTGTACATGGTTTGGTAAACAAACTGCCCTTTAAAAGATGCCATCCAACAATTTAACAAGTATAATTGCCTATTAATTCAAGGCACTAGGTGGCTGTATTTTTCTAATAAAGTATTACTGCTGAACCAAACCAAATCATCCTTATGTATACAAACTTAAGGTTTGGTATTAGGTTTTTAATCTTGGGGTGGAGTGCGGTCTTTACAAGCAAGACATGAAACTCATAAGCCACAAAGGAAAAATGTGTGAATATGACTATGTAATAATAATAATAATGGAGGCATCTGTCTGGCCATAACAAATGAAGCAAGCAAACGAAATCAAATTTAAAGATGAGACAGTGAGAAAATACTGTATCAGATAGAAGACATTAAGTTATCGGCCACACTATTCAAAGACTTATAAATCAAAGAAAAAGACCAAAAAATAACAGGAAAAGAAAGATGGGGAATAGAGACAGGGAATTCATATAAGAAATACAAATAGCTTAAAAACATGTGAAAACATATTCCACCTACTAAGGTAATAAAAATCTAAAATATAGCATTTTTCTCTTTATATTAGTAAAATAAAAATTTAAGTGTGTAGGGGAAACTAGAACTTTTATATACTGTTAGCAGGCATTATAAATTGATACAGAATTTTTGTTTTGGAAAGCATTTTTCTTCAGTGCCCTTTAAAATGTATCATATGCACATCTGGTGACCTAACAAGTTCACCTCTGGAAGCTTATCCTACAATAAGGTTTACACATGTACACGCCAATATGTATACAAAGAGAATGATCAAGCCAATTATGGTACATCTATTCAATAAATATTATGTACCTATTAAGAAGAATGGAATACCACTAGAAATACGAATCTTAAAAATGCTGTGATATATTGTTAAATGAAAGAACCAAATTGCAGAATAATATATACATACGGGCTCATTCCATTTATACAAAAAAGTTTATGAAGATAGACAAATAGATAAGTAGGTGATAGAGTGATCATACATGAGTAGTAAAATGGAATTATACATACCAACGTCTTAAGCAGTGGGATTATCTGTTTTCTCATCTTATTTTGTAGTATAAAACTTTTCAAAAAAAAAAAAAAAAACACCTGTTTTAGGCTCCTCAGATCATCCCATAACCTCACAGACAATGGAGCGAGCTCTTAAAGGTCAAGATCGGGGCCATTTGTCTCTACACTCCCCATGTCTAGCTCAGTGGCTGATACCACAGGGAGGTTCATTTAATGCTGTTGGAGAGGATGGGGCTTCACACTTCCCCACTCCTAGCTGCAGAGGATAATGTGACTTTATCATGATTCAAGTTTGACCTTGAGTCATACTCTCCGAGCTAAGCATTCCCATCAACCTGACCAGCCTGAAGGCTCTCAGCCCTCATTCACCAGAAAAAGTTCAGAACTCAGGACTATCTAATTAAAAAAAAAAAAAAGGGAGCAACAGAGGAAAAAGGAAAGCAAGAGAGAAGAAACACAGGGAAGAGAGAGGAAATGAGTCATGGGAAACTATAAGGAATTTACTGAGAGGACTCAAGAAGAAACTCTCAAGATTGTGTATTTGCATGTAGAGCAATTCACAGAAAGGCTGGATTGGCCTGGCCTTGTCTTTAACTGCTACTTCTACAGTTAGAAAACCTTCCTGAAAATGACCACAAATAGATACATCTTTTCTAAGTGAGAGAGTCACTCATTAAGAAAACAAACTCTTGGAAATATATCTCCCAACTAGATCTTCAAGTTTTGGCTCACAAGAATTTGCCTGTCTGCAGGCCTGCCTACAGATGGATGTCCGACATCCCAATGACATGTCTTATTCTTCAGTCTGGTGTCATATTATCAAGAGATAATATCTAATCACTGTCTTACTATATGCTATTATTCTAAAATCTTTGTGTATATTAACTTTCAATCTTCATTATAGCCCTATAAGGTATGCACAAATAGGAGCCTCATTCTACATTTGTGAAAGTCTTTGTGTGGTTAAGTAATCTGCCCAACATTGCGTAGCTAGTAAGTAGAACCTCTTAGACAGTATTCCTCAAACTTTATATGCAATCAAGTCACCTAGGCATCTTATTTTATTAAAATCCTGATTCTAGCTCTGGAAGTTTGGGGTGGGGCTTGAGGATCCACATTTCTTTTCTTTACCTTTTTTCTCTTTTACACCTAACTGTTCTTCAGAAGGAAGATTCTGCATTTCTAACAAGCTCCCAGGGAATGCCAATGCTGCTGGTACCACAGGCCACACTTGAGTCAGAAAACTCTAGGAATCAGCACACCTTAGGTATATCTTCAGAACCAAGCTGCAAGATCAGCTCTGCCAAAAACCCCCTGCCTGCCTGTGTACTCCAAGAACATAGGTTAACCTCTTTGTTTACAAGGAAAGATTCGGAGAGGATAGTCTCTGGATATTGTCCAGCTCTGTTGTTGAATAACTATTGCAAAATTGTAGTAGAAAAAAATGTCACCACTGCTATGCTGGTATGCTAGGCCGGGCTCTAAGTCAGTGCCCAGGCCCTAAGTCACATGCATCCAATAAATATTCATTGGAGTTCTAAACTAGGCAATGGGAGCTATAAGAGTTAATAAGACAATCCTTGTCAGAATGGAAATTACAGTCTTCTGGGGAATAAAGAATGCAGCCCTATGGTGTCATACTCTCTATTGCAGAGAAAGAACAGGGCACACTATAGAGATGGCCTGCCTTGGAAAGTTCCATGTGGGCTGAGATGAGATGAACTAGCCCAGTGAAGTTAGAGAGGGAAGGCAGGCAGGCAGAAGAAGGAGCAGGAGGGAAGGCCCAGAAGTGAGTGGGGTGTTAAAGGCTATTGGAGGAAGCTAATTGCGGTCAGGAGTTCGAGACCAGGCCTTCAGGTTGAAGGCGAAGAAGTAGGGAAAATAGTTACAAGGTTACAGCAGGACCCAGCTCACAATGTATCTCAAAGACCCAGCTTCTTAACAGGACCAGTGGTCTACATAGATGATGCAAAACCTTTGAGGAGCTTTAAGAAGGAAAGAGATAGGAGAGGATGTACATTTTTTGGGAGTTAAAGAGTATAGAACAGAATGTGGGGAGGCCCAAGGTTGAACACAGGGCACCAATTAGAAGCCTGTTGCCATGATCTACGTTAAAAAAAAAATCACCATGAACTTAGCTGGGAGTGCAGCAGCAGAGTTGCAGAGAAAGAGAAAAATTAGAAAGACATTAGAAGAAAGAGAACTAAGTGAACAAAATGAAGGATGAGAAGCTATGAGTGAGAAAAAGGCAGTGCTAAAAGATAAGTTTCCAAAAAAATGGTAAAATTATGACTCATAAGGATATAAAATGAACACATGTTAAAGATTTTATTTTACTCATAAAGAAGGTGCTAGGCAGATGTTATAACTGGATCAAGGGAGAAATTGAAAAACAGACACATTTATAGATCAGGAATATTGAAATAAATGTGCAGATGGAGGTAAAACTAGGTGGAGGTAAAACTAGTTCTCTCCCACAGTGGGAGAGAACTCAACTGAATCTCTACAAGATAGGACAGAATTTGCATATCGATAGCTCAGAATGATTTTGCATCCCATCAGTTATATGTAATTTACAGAGTTGTACAATAACTCCCATAGAATCACATAACTCAGAGGGATGTCTCTAGACGATGCATGGTTTTCCACTGAAGCACACATTTTCCCTTGCAGCAGGCTGACTCCAAGATGTCTGACTTAGACACCAACGTGGATATTGTGACATTCACTCCACAGGGAATGTAGGGAGAGAGATTTGAAGAGCTGAGGGAGAAACAAAGATGATTGATTACTTGGTCGTATTTCGGCAGTGAACACTTCCACCCGATAGAGGGTTGGTTCTGTTATGATTTCAAGGATAAAGTGCATGAGACTCAATGGCTTCAATTTTGGAGAGGCACTGCTTTAAGAGCCTCTCCCTGCTGTCAGACACATTTGATATTTACTGAGCACCATTTCTACCAAGGGTTGTAGGCACAGCGCTGTGGTAGATTCCCAATAAATCTTGCCTGAAAGAAACTTCCAGTGTGGTTGTTGCAAATTTGGAATGCATTTCTCATTAGAAAGAAAATGTCACAAGGTCAGGAGATTGAGACCATCCTGGCTAACACGGTGAGACCCTGACTCTACTAAAAATACAAAAAATTAGCTGGCTGTGGTGGTGGATGCCTGTAGTCCCAGCTACTCGGGAGGCTGAGGCAGGAGAATCACTTGATCCCAGGAGGAGGAGGCTGCAGTGAGCCGAGATCGTGCCACTGCACTCCAGCCTGGGCGACAGCCTGGGAGACAGAGCAAGACTCAGTATAAAAAAAAAAAAAAAAAAAAAATCAACATGATCACTTTCCCAAGCTAACAATGCTCTTTTTAAACATTCCTCAATATTGCAACGACTTTTCAACCCAAAAGTCAGAAAACATAAAGCACAAATGAATATCTTCCATTTATCAAATTACATAAAAAGATATACAAAATTATTTTTTAAAGTTAAGTTAGTTTTATGACTTCTACGTATCAAAAATAATTAAACTGAAGGATAAGACTGTGTTTCAAATCACACAGCTGCTTAGATAGAGGATGCCATTTTAATAGCATGTATCGACTTTTTTTTTTTTAATAAGCAAAGCTATATGATGTACTAGTAGTAATTAGATATAATTAGAAAATAGGAATATGAGAAGGGAGTGGGAATTGTTCGTGCACATTCTAGAAAAAATTCTGGATTTCTCAGTCTCTGCACTCTCCACTCCTCAAAGCAAGTGACATCTGACCCTTACCGGCAAGCCCAGCCCCACCTTCAGTCAAGGAAGCTCTTAAATAGCAGTGTTTGGGTCCTTCTAGCTTACCATAATGTCTTCTTTGAGACAGGGTTTTGCTCTGTCACCACAGCTGGAGTGCAGTGGCACCATCATAGCTCACTGCAGCCTCCTGGGCTCAAATAATCCTCTGACCTCAGCCTCCCAAGTAGTTCAGACTGCAGGAAAGAGTCACCATGTCTGGCTCATTTTTAATATATATATATTTTAACATAGAAACAGGGTCTCAGAGGCTGGACATGGTGGCTCATGCCTGTAATCCCAGCACTCTGGGAGGCCAAGGCGGGCGGATCATGAGGTCAAGAAATGGAGACCATCCTGGCCAACATGGTGAAACCCCGTCTCTACTAAAAACACAAAAAATTAACTGGGTGTGGTGGTGCATACCTATAGTCCCAGCTACTCAGGAGGCTGAGGCAGGAGAATTGTTTGAATCTGGGAGGTGGAGGTTCAGTGAGGTGAGATAGCGCCACTGTAGTCCAGCCTGGTGCCTGGCAATGGAGCGAGACTCGAAAGGAAGGAGGGAGGGAGGAAGGAAGGAAGGGAAAGGAAAGGAAAGAACAGAAAGAAAGGAAAGAAAGGAAAGGAAAGGAAAGGAAAGGAAAGGAAAGGAAAGGAAAGGAAAGGAAAGGAAAGGAAAGGAAAGGAAAAAGGAAAGGAAAGGAAAGGAAAGGAAAGGAAAGGAAGGAAGGAAGGAAGGAAGGAAGGAAGGAAGGAAGGAAGGAAGGAAGGAAGGAAAGAAAGAGAAAGAAAAGAAAAGAAAAGAAAAGAAAAGAAAAGAAAAGAAAAGGAAAGAAAGAAAGAAAGAAAGAAAGAAAGAAAGAAAGAAAGAAAGAAAGAAAGAAAGAAAGAAAGAAAGAAAGAAACGGGGTCTCACTATGTTGCCCAGGCTAATCTCAAACTCCTCGGCTCAAGCAATCCTCCTGCTCTGCTCCCCAGAGTGGTGGGGTTACAGGTATGAGCCACTGCATTCAACCACCATAAGTTCTGAATCCTGAATCCTGCCACATAGACCTGGGCTGCAGAGGGACTGGAGTTCAAGGTCTGTAAACCAGACTTGCCTTGCTCTTGCCAGTTTCCATGTTTCAGCTCAAGCTCAGCAATCAGGGCCCTGCTCCCTGCTGATGAACTTCCTGATGTCCAGAGCCAATCCTGCTGGACTTTGAGTATTACCTCCCCATTCTCCTCTGTCATGCTCTGCCTGCCTGTTGGAACATCCTGACCCCAAGGGTCAGGCCTATCCACCCACCCCATGCTGAATGCCCGCCAGGACTCTGGTCAACATTCGTTGTATCCTTGAGTTGCTCTGTCCTGGAAAGCACACCAAATCTCAGCCCAACAGCAGCGGCTGGGCTGCAGCCATGCCCATGCAGCAACGTCACTGCTTCTCTGCCCACAGTTCACTTTGCCATGTCTGCCTTCACTCCGAAAATCCAGTTAATTGCAGTCGTGCTTAAATTTACATCAAAACCAAAGTCTGACCTTCTTTCTTCATGCACTCATATGCTATGGAAACATCAAGGGACATTGAAAGTCTTTGGTTCAAGTTTGCTTATTCTTTGCCCAACAGATTTCTTAAGTTTGACTTTCCACGGTTTGTGTTATATACAAAATGCATTGTTTTGTTTTATAAAAATAATTTTAAGGCTAAGCATGGTGGTTCATGCCTGCACTTTGGGAGGCCGAGGTGGGTGGTCAGGAGTTCGAGACCAGCCTGAAACCCTACCTCTACTAAAAATATAAAAATTAGCTGGGTATGCTGGCGTGTGCCTATAATCCTAGCTACTCGGGAGGCTGAGGCAGGAGAATCGCTTGGACCTGGAAGGAGGTGGTTGCAGTGAACTGAGATCACACCATTGCACCCCAGTGTGGGCAACCAGAGTAAGACTTTGTCTAAAATAATAATAATTTCAGACTGAATATTCACCATCTCCCCAACATTAAACATCTGTAATCCTCTTGTATGTACATAAGTATGTGTGTGTACATGCACGTGTGTGCTTACTGAATGCTTACTGAAATCCATTACATTAGGGGGTGCAGTTTCTCTTCTCTTGATCTTTTCTTTCATAATAATGACAGGTAACACGGACTGAGCCCTTACAATGAGCCAGACACTGTGCAAGTGCTTTCCATGAATTCTCATTCAAGCCACCTAACAAAGGGCCTATGAAATCTGCCCTCTGATTAGCCCCAATTGTTGGACGAGAAATCTGTTGCTTAGAGATAAAGCAATTTACCAAGCTTCACAATTCACGCGGCGCAGAACAAGATTAGAATTCAAGTTGCTGACTTTGGATTTTCTAGATCTCAACCTCATCTATGCACTCCCACCCCTGGCATGGTGCCCAGAACACAGAGGGCTCTCACTACCTGTTTGTCAAGTAAATAAATGCTTAACCTCTCCCTTATTTAGGATTCAGCATTAAAACAGATTACATTTCTACTTTGTACCAGCCACTGTGCCTTTTTTTTTTTTTTAATAGTCTTACTCTGTCATCCAGGCTGGAATGCAGTGGCATAATCTCAGCTCACTACAATCTCCACCTCCCAGGTTCAAGTGATTTTTGGGCCTCAGCCTCCCAAGTAGCTAGGATTACAGGCACCTGCCACCACATCTGGCTAATTTTTATATTTTTAGTAGAGATGGGGTTTCAGCATGTTGGCCAGGCTGATCTTGAACTCCTGACCTCAAGTGATCTACCCACTTCAGCCTCTCAAAGTGCTGGGATTACAGGTGTGAGCCACCACACCTGGCCAGCCACTGTACTTTGACATGAAAAGGCAGTTAACGATTTATCCAAATAACTTCCATAATTAGAAATTAGAAACAATCATTGCATGGCAGAACCAAGTCTGAAACAGTCCTTTTTTAATATATATAAAACGGTATCACTGACTCTTAACATTTATCAGCTGTAACTCCATCATCCTTTTTGGCTTAGAGAAGAAATGATACAATTGGAGAAAAGGATTTTCTTTTTAACATAACTGAGGAAAACTGAAAAGGAAAAGAAAATCAAAGAGGACATGTAAAAATCCACAGGACGCTAGACCCAGAAGGAATTAAATTCAGATGGGATGCCAAGGAAAAAGTCACTGTTTCCTCCTCAGGTGGTTAAAAATGTTCTCCTCTTGCCAAACCAGTGAATGATCAAAAGTCCCACCAGAGAGTGTGGCTACCACACAGAACCTCAGCCCAGAGGACCCAGATTACTGGGAACCTTCATCAGACACTCAAGGTAATGGTCAAGGTCTCTGACTTTGAAACCAGCCCTGCCTGGGTTCAGATTCCATCTCCACCACTTAATGACATGACTTTCATGAAAAACAGTGATGCCCATTTTATGAGATTACATCTAAAAAGCACTAAGCAGTGTTTCTTAGCATTCAATACATAGTAGCTATTATGTTTATTATTAATTATGATTATTTACTGATAACACAGACAAAAAGTTTTTAAAACATTTTGAAAAGAAACAAAGCCACCTGTGGAAATCAGTTGACAAAGACCCATTATTCAAAGTGCACTGAACATATTTCTTAGAAGCAAACAGAAAGGAGTCCCTCCTAAGAGCTCTAAAACCAAGAAACAAACATTCTTATTCAGACGACCCGAAGCAAGCCAGATGGAGCAACCACCCGGCCAAACAGAAATATCCTCAGACCCGGAGGAGGAAAAAACTCCAGGGCAAAACCATTTCTTTGTTGACACAAATGAAGGAGTAAAGCCAATTCCTTACTAAAAAAGAACTGAAATTTTTGACAGAACCCATCTTATGTCTTTGATAATTTGTCATATATAATATAAAGCCTGTAAATAATCATTATTCTAGAGAGTGCTTTCAGTCATTTCCAAATTATTGGTTTGTATAAGATCTGGGGCTAATAAACCCCTGCGGGTATTGATTCAGCTAGAAAAGCTGCCTGTGGAGTTGACTGGCCTCTCCCAGTCAAGGCCCTGGAGTGGAATGGAAAAACCAGTTCAGCCTATTCCTTACTGGGAGTGAGACAAGTGGTACAGTCATGGGAGAAAGGTCACCTAAAGAGAAATTAACTGAACAGTCAGGGCATAAATCAAAGGGGAAAGCATCACTTTTTCTACCTTCCTGTCCATAATTTTCACATCCAATTTATCAACAATTTCTGAATTGTTCCACCAAGGGATAACTTGAATCCCCCACTCCATTTTTTTTTTTTTTTTTTTTTTAAACAGGCTCTCACTCTGTGGCCCAGGCTGGAGTGCAGTGGCGCTATCACAGTTCATTGCAGCCTCAACCTCTCATGCTCAGGTAGTCCTCCCACCTCAGTTTCCAAAGCAGCTGGGACCACAAGTGAGCACTACCATACCCAACTTCTTTTTTTTTTTTTCTATTTTTTGTAGAGACAGGATCTTCCTAGGTTACCCAGCCTGGTATTGACCCCATGGACTCAAGCGATCCACCCACCTTGGCCTCCCAAAGTACTAGGATTATAGGCGTGACCACCACACCTGCCCCATTGCTCCATTTTCATGGCAAACACCTCTCCTCTCTTAGTTCCCTCAAATCAATTTGCCACCCAACAGCTAGAATGACCCTTTTAAACCTAAATGCATCACATTGCACTGCACTGCTTTGACTTCGAAGCCCTTGATGGCCACGTGGCTACTGCTTACTTCTGTCAGTCACTCTCCTTTCAGTTTTTCCAACGGGTCACTCCCTTAAGGGCCTTCATGCAGCTTGTTCCCTCTCCTTGCAATTCTTTTCTCCTTCCTTCTAGACCCAACCCATCTCAAAAGGGATTTCTTTAGGAAGGCCATTGCTGACTGCCTTCATTTAAATTAGGTCTTCATTTCATTTTTTTTTTCTTTGAGACGGAGTCTTGCTCTTGTCGCCCAGGCTGGAGTGCAGTGGTGTGATCTCATCTCACTGCAACCTCCACCTCCCAGGTTCAAGCAGTTCTTCAACCTCAGCCTCCCAAGTAGCTGGGATTACAGGTGAACACCGCCATACCCGGCCAATTTTTGTATTTTTAGTAGACACGGGGTTTCACCATGTTGGCCAGGCTGGTCTCAAACTCCTGACCTCAGGTGGTCTGCCCACCTCGACCTCCCAAAGTGCTGGGATTATAGGCATGAGCCACTGCACCTGGCATCATTTATTTTTCTTCATTTATCACAATTTTTAATTTGTGTGTTATATGTTTAGATGCATATGCATATATGTATGTATGTATGTTATGTATGGATGCATGTGTGTATATACATAGGTGTATGTCTATGTAAATATTTAAAAATATCTGTCTCTCTTTCAAGACCTGTAAGTTCTAGGCAGGTAGAAACCATCTGTTATACTTATGACCATATACCCAGCACCTAGGGGGGTACAATATGCCATGAAGGCTGTCAATAAATACATGTCGAACAATTAAATAAATGAATGTGCAGGGTTGACTTGAGAGGGAAGAAGGAAGAGGCAGGGATGTACAGTTTGTAGCATTAGCCACCCAGATAATGATTTTCCCGGGAGAGGAAGACAATTTTTAACCAGTTGTCAACAGATGCAAGAAAATTGAAAAGCAGGTATTTTTATTTAAACCGAAATTCTATACTTTAACTGTTTGGTACACCCCTCACAAAGATTTAAATGAAGGGATGTCATCACAATTCACAAGTAGAAATTTCTTCTTACAAAGCCACAAGTAGAAACACTCCTTATGCTTCTGAATTCAAAAGTGAGATGATTTGATGACAAGAACCAAGAATTTGCTATGGAGAAACAGTGGCATCCTGTTAATTTGTGTGTTTTCTCTGCTTTCCCAGGAACAATAGGTTATTTTTGACTGTAGTTGTGAGTGTTAACCCACCACCCTAGGTCTCATTCTTTCAACACTTGACTTTGTTGCTGATTTGCTTTTCACCCCTTTAACTGATAGGCTTTTCACCCCTTTAACTAAGAGATAAACACACGCAGTGTTAAGAAGAAAGGACTTTGGCCCGCTAAGGTGATAACAAAGACTCCCTTCCAATAAGAACCTTAGAAAAGGGAGAATTGTTTCCAAAATCCCTACCCAATTGTTCCATATTTCAGAAGCTATTAATTTTCTCTGTTCCTACCACAGGAAAATGTTTACTCTCAAGGGGAACAAGCCAATTAGGCAGTTGCTTAAGGGTGAAACCAAAATAAGTCAGGAAATTTTAATGGAGCCACTAACTGTTCCTCCTGAAATATAATGAGGATGGCACTCACATGGAAATTCAACAGATAGATACCATCAGTGTTGGTCATGGAATGCAATGACCTACAGCCTAATGCAATCCAGCAGTCTGAGGCAGGGTGGCAGGAGCTGGGAGAACACTGCCATTAGACAATGCTTTTGGGGACAGATTGCAGAAAAAGCTTAAGCAGCCGAGGGCAAGTTAGGTAAGCTGTGAGCACTCGGGCTGTTGGAATCCAACATTTCAAAGCCATCATCTTCTGTCTCCTTCACATAATGGAGTCTCACAAAGTAGAGGGCTTTGGCCCACTCCTGCTTGATGGGACGTCCTCAGCCTGCCGGACTTCTCAGCTTCTTTACTGATTCCCTGAGAGTCCAGCCCTGCCCAGGTTCTGAAGGGATTAGGATCAAAGTAGTAGGCTATGTTCAGAATGTGGCATCCTAAAAAGCAATGCAACTTTCTAAAATGT